ATTTAATCACCTTTCGTTTAAACGACCGGTGTAATGTAATAGAAGAGTAATCAGGTAGATATTAAGATAAAGTAACAAAATAAGCCTTAAGATAATATAGCGAACCAAGCACCTGAAATAAAGAAACAGCACGCGGTTAGTAATTCGACTGGAAGTGCATGCAGCGTACTTGTCAACGCAGCGCCGGTTCTGCTTACGTTTTCAGTAATTTTGTTGCTGGTCTCGAATGGTCTTGCTCGTGGCTCACTAGACCGGCCTGACTCAGACGCTCAAGGCCGCATGTGCTACATCACCCTGTGCTCGATGTCGATAAAGTTCACTCCATCTTCTCCGCGTACACGAGGACTTTCTCCTGCACCTTGGCAACTGCCTTCGTGATCAGATCGCACCATGCTCGCCTATCAACCGCCTTGTATTCTCAACACCTGAAATCAATATTAGAATGTGTCAGGCTCACCTTGATCATGTCCTGGTAACGAAGAATCAGTTTCTTTACATCCTGCATCCACACACTAAGCTGACCGTATAAGAGATGCTTCGGTATCCGTGTCGATTCCATACGGCACACATGAGCGCGGCACCTCAGGTGTCCCATCAGAAGTATGCAGTCCACTGCATATATTCCACTTCGACGCAACATCTTCGTGTCTGTAATTCTGTCGCACCAGTCGGTGTGCAGAATTCGTTGCATACACTTGATGAAACCTCTCGAGATATCGCACATCTCACTAGGTGCATCGTCCTTGTTTCGCTACCGTATAGGAGAACTGAAAGCACAATGTACTTGTAGACCGTCAGCTTCGTGCCAACGGTAAACCAGTGGTTGTTTCACACTCGGTACTCAAGCTTCCCGAATGCGCAGAAACTCGAACAAATCAAACGGAGTCGTCACGGCAGTTTTAGTGATGTCCACTTCGGCTACCGGAATTTGGTTGTATGCGCGTACCAAGTCGATTTTGCTGAAGATATTTTTACCCGCCAGACTGGCGGTGAGATCCACTATGTGTGGGATCGGGTAGCGATCAGGCGTTGTAACCGTATTCAAGGTTCGATAGTCGCCGCAAGGACGCCAGTCCCCCATGACCTACTTCGGGACCACGTGCAGTGGCGACGCCCATGGGCTGTTAGACGGTCTGACGAAGCGAGCTGAAGCATGTGGACGAATTCAGCTCGTGCTGCGCGTAGTTTGTCAGGAGCCAGCCGTCTTGGTCGTGCGCTAACTGGCTGACCACGCATGACTATCTGATGAGCGACCTCTGTCGTGACTGGCGGAAGCTCTACAGCTGGTAGCACCAGCCCCATGTACTTCCACTTTTGACTACGGAAATTACACTGATTGATTGGCTCACCAGATGCGTGAGCTACGTCCACCCTCTCCTCGATCGCAGAAGACACCAGTGTACGTGCCCAAGAAGCTGTCTACGTGTTCACACGTCCCTCTTCGCGTAGACGGTGTTCGCCAGCCTCTTCAGTCGCCGTACATAGGACTTTTCAAGGTGCTACATCGTGCGAGTAAGGCGTACACTATTGACCGCGGTGATCGACGCGAAGTCGTCACCATCGACCGTCTGAAACCCGCCTTTATGGAAGAAACTACCTTGCCCACTTCGTCTAGTAGTGCTTCATGCGACGTCACAACTCACCGCACCAGCTTTCCGCATGCTAACGAAGTCCAACCAGACCACGATCAAGGTCTACAAGCTTCAGCCGTCCCGACATCTCCCGAACCTAGTCCGCCGCCTCCCACGACCAATCGCCATGGTCGGGAGGTGCGTGATCCCGTTCGTTTCTCCGACGATGTACAGTGTAAAGACTTTTAGCTTTGTATATATTGTATATATATATGCCCCAATTTTGGACGACTAACTTTTGAAAACAAACAAAAATATCAAAAACCTCAGAAAAAGCCTTTACAAAAATGTTCAAAAATCACAAAATATAAACACGCAGATCATTCGTTGTTCTTTCTGCGCTTTCTGCGCGTGTATTTCTATTTTTCTAGTCTCTACATGCCCCAAACCCTCCCCTTTGATCGACTGGCCCACACGAGGAATCTTTTCGAGGACCCTGACGGGAACGCTGGTCGTTTCTCCGCGGGACGAGGGTCGCTTCTTCGCGGGACGAGTGTCGCTTCTTCGCGGAACGAAGGTCGCTTCTTCGCGGGACGAGGGTCGCTTCTCCGTGGGATCATAGTCGTTTCTTCGTAGGACGAGTGTCGTTTTGGCGCGGGGCGGGGTGCGGCGAGGGGAGAGACCACTCCCAAGCGCACCGTTTGGCAGCAGCGGAGGTTGAGGTCCTGTCGGTCTTTTTCTGGGCTAGCCAGTTATTTTGTAGTCCAACAAGCCCGCTCCAACGGCTCGCGGGAATGCACCCTGCCCTGCAATCAATAAATAACAAATCACAAACGGCACAGCGGACTCCGACTTCCGGCGAACCCCCATTTACAGGAACGCTCCCTCATTTTCCTTGGCACGATTTTGCCTTACGAATCTTGATTCAAAAGTCCCTTTCGAAATCGAAGGCTTTCTATGTTCAGCCTTCTAGGGGGGAGCTCTGTCTGATGGTACATTATTCCTTCCTGTTTTAATCGTCCTTAAAACCGGCTCGACACACAACTGACTTGTAAGTTCCCGCGCTCAACTGTACTCTCTCGCCTCGCTTCATCCGTCCGCTTCTTATTGTAGCCCATGGAATAGAATCCGCTGTGTCCGACTCCCATTGCCTTCTGATATCCGCGCTTACTCTCGCGCACCGTCTCGGACTAGCATTAACTAGTCCTACAGTGTGCCTGTTGTAAAGCTGCCTTCGTCCTGCTGCACTGCTGCTAGTCTGCGCCTGCGAGACTACGACCGCCTGATTGCTCAATCACGCGCCCAACCAACTGACGGGATACAGAAGACCAAAGCTCGGTAAACAGGGAGTCTATTCTACACGACAGGGCAGTTCTATTTATTGGTGAACGAACATACTAGTTTTTGAAACGTCTGGCTCTCAGCCAATGTGGGTTGGTTCTGTCGCACGGATTTTCCAAATTTGGCAGAATGGTTCTCCTCCCTTGATTCCGGCTTGTAATTGCTGGCCAATCGGTTTGCACCCGCTTCCCAAATTTGGCAAAACGGTCGAAGGTCGTCCCCCGTTCGTGTATGTGACCTTCGCGTGCAGCAGACAACTCACGTGCTCCGCGGTAAGCCCGTGCGTGACCCAGTGTCTGGACATAGGCTCCGCTTACCTTTCTATTAGTGCCACTGCAAGACTCTAGTTACATAGTAAAGTTTATATTTCCAGTAATAGAGTTCAGATGATCTAGAAACGCCTCCTTCATTTCTCGCTTCACAATCACAAACGTATCATCCATGTAGCGCCACCAAATCTTTGGCGAACTACTGGAGTTTGTCAGCGTCCTTCTCTCAAAGTCTTCCATATACAGATTTGCCAATACGGGGGATATTGGTGACCCCATGGCAAGTCCCTGTTCCTGAGAGTACAGTCTCGAATGGAAAGTGAAATACGACATATTAAGGCATACTTTAATTCCATCGATTATCTGATATACCGTGAGTTTCGTTCGCTGCTCCAGGCTATTTTCCTCAGTAAGACAACGCTGTGCTATACCCAATGCGTCATCCTTGGGCACGTTAGTGAATAGGGAACTAACGTCGAAACTAAACATTATTTCATCTGGCGCGATGTCCAGACCTGCTACCTTCTGCGCGAACTCATAAGAGTTCCGTACGAAGCTATTTATTCTCCCTGTTAGAGGCTGCAACAAACCTGCCAAATATCGGGCTATTTCGTGCGTTGGAGAACCGATACAATCTACAATGGGCCGAAAGGGAACTTCCGGCTTATGTATTTTTGGTAGCCTATAGATCCTAGGTGGAATCGTTGATTTCGGATATACGCTATACCATTTACCCGGCCCTAGGTTGTGCTTCACATTTCTCAGGTAGTTTCCTACCTCAGTTTTGCACTTACTCATTATGGAAGATATGGATTTTTTCTCGATAACTTCGTAGGACCCTGCTGCTAATTGCTGTTCCATTTTTCCACATAATTCGATTTGTTCAGTATCACTACGGTCTTGCCTTTATCGGGTTTCGTGATGATGAGGTTGGGGTCTTCTCTTAAGGTATTTAATGCGGTACGCTCCGCTGGTTTAAGGTTTGGATTCCCAGGCTTCTGAAATCTGATGACGTCTACTATCTGTGCACGAATATTCTCAGCTGTTGTACTGGTAGTTTCGTCATCACAGACTCAACGCTAGTATTAATTTCCTCTGCAGTTAGTTTGGACTTATTTACTGAAAAGTTCAAACCCATTTTTATTAATCTACTTTCCGTCTCACTCAGCAACCTATCTGACATATTAAGTACATTGTAATAATTACTGCTAGGTTCAGACCTATCTACGAGACTAGTGGTCCTGCTATACATAGACATCAAATGATTGAACTTACGAACTTGTCTTTCTTTCGCAGCTAGCCATTGCGTTGATTTCACTTCCGAAGCCTTATTGTAAAGTCTATCATAGTCCGTCTGCGTTATAGCAGTCTGCAGCTCCCAGCTCAGCCGATTAGCATGTAGGCGGATTTCATTCAGGCGTCGAGTTGTCATACAAATCCGTTGTCTCAGAAATGTTTTGCTTGCGTTGTAGGCTGCTTTGGTAGGTGTGTAAGAAATGTCCGGTGTGTCACGTACGCGAATGACTTCGATCCGTTTACTCAGCCGTGCGTGGATTGGTTATCACACAAAACAGCCAGCCAATCATCAGACACACACCCCCTTACCATCGCAACGGCTCGTTACCGTTGAGTTCTTTTACCATCACCCAACTTACCATCAACATGATCCCAACTCCTACCATACATCCCCTACAATAATCCATTTCAACCTATACACTTCCTTATCTAAACCAATCCCACTATTTTTACCACCCTACAAACTACTTCCCCCTCCCACCCCATCCTCCCCCCCCATCACCCCACCCCCCCCACACACAAATTACCCCACATCATCATCCCCCTCCCCAACCTCCAATTCCCTCATCTCCCACAAACCACCACCATCACAATACATCACACTCAAATCCCCCCCCCCCACACTTCCCCCCCCCCCCCCCCCCCCATACCACCACAATCCCCCCACAACATAACACCACCAAAAACAACCCCCCACAACCCAACCCCACCCACCCCCCAACCACCCCCCCCCCCCCCCCCCCACACCCACCCCCCCCCCAACCCCCCCCCACCCCCCCCCACCCCACCCCCACCCCCCCACCCCCCCCCCCCCCCCCCCCCACCCCCCCCCCACCCAACACAAACACACACAAAAAACAAAAAAAAACCAAAAAACCCCCCCCCCCCCCCCCCCCCCCCCCCCCAACAAAAACACCCCCCCCCCCCCCAAACACCCCATTTTCTCCATTTCCCCCCCCCCCAATTTTTTTTTGTTCACCCCCCCCCCTTGTATCACGCCCCTCCCCATATTATATATCCCCCTCCCACCCTATAATCCCCTTTTTTCCCATATTCACCAATCCATTCCTGATTGTAAGTATAATGATATTCCACCTGGAAAAATTGAAGAGCAAATGAAAGTTCAATGTTTGATTGCGGGAATATCGGACGAAAGTGCTAGAGAGAAGTTGCTATCCTTGGATGAGTCGGCCACCACGTGGGAAAACGTTTGTCTCATCGTTCGCCAACGTGAGAATATTACACACCAATTACGCGAGTTCACCGGTCGGCCGGTAGCTGATGATGTGCAGGCGATCCGTAAATCAGACAGCAGTGAAAATCGAAAACAATTTGTGTGTTATCGTTGCGATTTGCGGCATTCTCACGCTTCCGATTGCCGGCACAAAGAAAGTATCTGTCGGAAATGTGGCAAGATAGGTCATCTAGCACGCGTCTGTAGATCGGAAAGTTCCCGCCCCACGAACATTGCCTCATCAAATCGTCAAAGCAAGATAGAGTTACGGGAAGATAATGTCCTAACAAATTTGAACAGTGAGCTTAACTCCGTGTACTTGAAGAGTGTGACACACAAAAACTGTCCTCCTTATACAATACGTTTGATGATAGAGGATGAACCGGTAGACATGGAGCTAGATACTGGGGCGGCGGTCACCATTGTAAACCGCGGTTCAATGAAAAAGCTACCACCTTTGCTACCGTTCAACTCGAGATTACAGACGTACACAGGTGATCCAATTCAGGTGTTGGGCAGATGTTTCGTTAAAGCCAGGCACGGGGAGCGAGAATTCACCCTGCCTTTAATCGTTGTACCTGGGAACAAACCGAATCTCATGGGTCAAGACTGGATACAGTTCTTTCCCGAGACCATGTAACTCAACCAACTCACTGTTGACGACGGCAGTTTGAATGGATTATTGAACGAGTTCTCATCGTTGTTTGAAAGTAAACTGGGGAAAATGCGTCATTTCAAGGCTTCTATCAAACTCCGAGAGGGTGCCGAACCAAAATTTTACAAAGCTAGATCATTACCTTATGCAATGCGCCCTAAAGTTGAGGCAGAGATACAACGTCTACAATCAGAAGGAGTCATAGTTCCGGTGCAACATTCGGATTGGGGCACTCCCATTGTACCTGTACTCAAACCTGACGGCTCCGTCCGTATTTGCGGGGACTACAAGTTGACAGTCAACCAAGCGTCGAAAGTGGAAAAATATCCCCTACCACGTATTGAAGATTTGTACGCGACTTTAGCCGGCGGCCAAAAGTTCTCCAAGTTAGATCTCAGTCACGCATACTCTCATGTCGAACTTGATGATGAGTCACAGGAACTGACTACAATAACTACCCACCTGGGACTATTCCAGTACACGCGTCTCCCGTTTGGAATAAATTCAGCACCCAGCGTTTTCCAACGTATATTGGTTAATATAGTTAAAGATATACCGTTCACCTGTGCATACTTGGACGATATCCTTGTTACTGGTCGCAGTGACTCTGATCACCTAAACACATTGCGAACTGTTCTTCTGCGCCTGGAAGAGTGTGGGTTAAAATTAAAAAAGTCCAAATGTGAGTTCTTATCCGATGCTGTTTGTTACCTTGGTTACAAACTGGACAAAACCGGTTTGCATGTCCTGCAAGATAAGATAGCGCCTATTCTGCAGGCACCTCAACCCAAGAATAGCGATGAACTACGATCATTCCTGGGAATGCTGTCCCACTATCGTCGTTTCCTACCTGATGCCTCGACCATTCTTGCTCCATTAAACGAACTGTTACACAAAAACATCCCGTGGATGTGGAAAAGTGAGCATCAATCTGCTTTTACTTGTGCAAAGAAGTGTCTTGCTTCCGCACCTGTTTTGGTCCATTACGATAGTGAAAAACCGTTAATCTTACAATGTGACGCCTCTCCATACGGAGTCGGAGCAGTTCTATGCCACAAAATGTCCAATGGTATCATTCACCCTATTGCATTTGCTTCACGAACTTTACAACCCGCCGAAAAGAATTACTCCCAGCTGGATAAAGAAGCCCTGTCAGTTATATTTGGCGTCAAGAGGTTTCATCAGTACATTTGGGGAAACTATTTCGAAATACAAACTGACCACAAACCACTGATATCTTTGCTGAGCGAGTCAAAGGGAATCGAGCAGATGTTTTCACCGAGAATGCAACGCTGGGCATTAATATTAAGTGCATATAAATATCGAATCTCGTATATTCCTGGGTTGAACAATCATACAGCGGATGCATTAAGCAGGTTACCACATGCGACCCCAGACGAAATACTGGAGGAACCAGTAGAGCTTGTAAATCTAATGCAACACCTCGACACCACTCCATTGACAGGTGACACCATACGTCAGTGGACCGATCGTGACCCAACGCTATCTTCTATAGTGCGATTTACAAAAACCGGCTGGCCTACTACAGTTCCCTTCGACCTAAAACCTTACGCACAACGGAAAAATGAGTTGAGCCTTCACGATGGATGCTTGTTTTGGGGATCGCGCCTGATTCCACCGCTAAGGGCACGGCCGTTCATCATAAAGGAACTCCACAACGCACATCCAGGCGTAGCCCGAATGAAAGCCTTAGCGCGCGGTTATTGCTGGTGGCCTGGTCTAGATACAGAGATAGAGAACTGTCTAAAAACATGTGGTTTGTGTCAGCAGTATCAGTCAAATAAACCTCCCGGTCCGGTACACGATTAGCGTTGGCCTGAAAAGCCATGGCAGCGCATCCATGCTGAGTACTTTGGACCCATTAATGGTGTATTCTTCCTGCTGCTAATTGACGCTCATTCGAAATGGATAGATGTTTATCCCGTTGCCCACCCTACTACAGAGACAACTATCTCCAAAATGCGGTCGTCATTTGCAATATTTGGGATACCGGAGACACTCCGCACAGACAATGGGCCATGTTTCACTAGCGAAGAATTTGAAATCTTCATGAATAGCAATGGTGTCCAGCATGTCCGTACAGCTCCGTATCACTCTGCTTCTAATGGGTTAGCGGAAAGGGCGGTACAGACAATTAAAAGAGGTCTCTCGAAACAAGCACCAGGAACTGTTCAGACGAGGTTAGATCGCTTGCTGTTTGCTTACAGGATAACGCCCTCAGAAGCCACTGGTAAATCACCCGCGGAGATGATGTTTTGCAGAACGCTCCGTACTAGACTGGATCTTCTGTTTCCAAATCATAGAGCACAAATGGAGAAGAAACAAGACAAGGCTGCCGCATCGCAAAATAACCACGACTCTAGTTGGCAGCCGGGTGATCCCGTATACACAAGACTTCCCCATGAGCACTGCTGGCAACCCGCAACTGTAATTAAAGGTGACTGTACCCAAGCAGATCTTGAATTAAATGGTCGAATAGTACGGCGACACTCGGACCATATACGATCACGTTTTGTTGGGACAACAGCAAATGAACGTCTGGGTGAATCAACAACCGTTCAGCCGGAAACGGAAGCAAACCCCAGAATTCTGTACAATCGTCAGATGAATCAACGCTTCGCAGATCTCAGCGTACGCATAAACCCGTTGACCGGTTCGTGCCAGGAGTATAAACATTTCAAGAGATGAAGGGATGTCACGTACGCGAATGACTTCGATCCGTTTACTCAGCCGTGCGTGGATTGGTTACCACACAAAACAGCCAGCCAATCATCAGACACACACCCCCGGTCTCGCAACGCGAGTTCCGTGAGTCTTGTATCTTCCTCAATTGATTGATAAACCTCCTGCTGTTTAGACGTCTTCTGCTTGCTGGGATTACGTGTCTCGGAAGCGTGCGTTACATGCCTAGTGGTACTACGTATTACGGTGGCCTGACAACAAGGCTTTTATGAATAATCCCACACTTGAGACATCTCGGGTTGAGGATACGATGGTTCCCCTAATTCGTTTCAACACCAGCCAAGCGCACGAATTCACTAGCCATTTTTCGAACACGTGGTCCGTAGATTGATTCAATATCTCGGAATATGCTTGGAACCGACTGGGATTTCATGATTTCCGAAGGTTTGAATACAAATCAGTTTTGCTAGGGTTTTATTGTGGCAACGTTTCGCCCTTGACACAAGAGCTTCTTCAGGCCAGGTGTATCTTTTCAAAATTGGAGCTGTTTATTTTTCCAAACGTGCATCGCAACAGCCCGAGGTCTTGGTTTCCAGTATTGGAGGCCTTTCCGGATTGCCTTGAGCAACCCAATTCACATTGGACAGTTGATTGTCGCAGTACAATGGTCCAGAGCCGTATGAGTAGCTGATATGATGTCTGATGGAAATGTTTTTTGCATTTACTCACGTGAGAACGCAGGAAAATTTTGGGTTGTCCATTGATATATTGTATCTATGTCACTCTGAAGCAGGTGCTAGTCGGCGTTCATTTGGATCCTGCGCCAAACCTTGATATCGTCGGCAAACATTAGAAGTTTGAAGCGATTCCCTTTGCAAGGTCATTAATAAACACCGTCGCCTGCACAGGGATCTTATTTTGGTGTTTAAAATGCTAAGATTTCAACCACGCATGTCGACACTTATGGAAATTAAACCACCACCTCATGCTGAGACCATCACCTGAGGTTAGCCACATAGTACAGTCGGTACCCGCCACCTGCTCGGCCCTGACAACGAGAAGCACTGATACAAGTTTTTGTTCACACAGTATCTGGCCAGATGACCAGCCCGATCGCATCTAAAGCATCGTGGACCCTCCTGGATTCGGTATTCCTTGCGTTGTGCATACGTTCTACGGGTATTCCTCAACGACCTCTTTTCCACCATCATAGACTATTGCTCAACCCTACGCTCCAGCTCCGAAGGTTCTGTTCGCTTCATCGTCATCGGCTCCAAATCCTTAGGCAACCGTCACCAACTCTTTCGCCCTGCTGATTCCCACGATCACTGCCAATTTTTCCTTATCCTATAAGTAACTGGACAGGCTACGAATAAATTGCTCCCCAGACGTTCCTTTGCTTCAGCTTCCAACTCGG